GCAAAATTCAATCGTGTTATTTCGATAGCCATTAAACTGCTGGTTGAAGATTCCTTTAAGGTGTTCAGAATATTTAGTTAGTTTACCAGCATGATTACCTTCAGGTCCAACACTACCGAACGGAGGGGTGAATTTCGAATGTCACTGTGTCAGTCATCTGGTAGCAAGTCCTTGTGGTTATGAGTTTCGTGAAGCAATCAAGTGCCAGAAGGCGGCGGGCGAAAGTGAGCTGGAGGAGGGAGCTTGTGCCGATGAATTGATCGAATTCATGCGATGTGCTATGCGAACTGAATGTTTCAGAGGTCTGTTCCATTTTGCATCCAGCAGGATATAGTTTATCATTGTTTTATTCATAATTTTATTGTTGTCCTTATCAGTATAATTGCTCACATGCTTGTTCTTGTTATTTCCATAACGTTATCGTTTGCAGCCAGGAACGATGATTCTGACGATAGTGTTGAGGGTAAGCAGAAGACGGCTCCAGATGAATCCGAAACAAATACAAGCCAGTCAGCTCAAGTCGACGATATCGAGATTACCGACGAAGTTTCGCCAACCTCTTCAAAAGATCATTTATCCTTGTCGTCTTCGTCATCTTGATATATGTTTCTTTTGGCTTAACATTCGTTCTAGGTTGTCCCATTGTAGTTCAAAAGAAAACAACTCAACTTAACATCTCTTGCAGACTTTTAGGGTACATTAAATGCTCTAAATATTAATGCATTGCGTGCGAATGGAACAATAAATTTGTGTGATCTTCTTTAAGATATTAAAATTAGTTATTTTGAATCACTCGCATGGTTTTATTGCCTGATTATTCCATCTGATTCATTCAAGTTTAGCTTATAGGACGAAAGAGGTATTAGTTGAATATATCAGTGTCTCTTCTTATATCTAGTACCAGTTTTGATGTGCGTTTATTTGCATCCCATTTTTAGCATTTCGATTTGATTCGAACGTTCTTGCTGTTAGTCCAGATTTTATGCATTCATTGTTATTGTTACTGTTTTTGTCGATAATATTATCGGTGATATATTTCTCATAAATTTGAATGTTTCAATTTGTCATTTTATTGAATTTGCTCATGATTATTGAAAGTTTTTATAGAATCCATGGGCAATACATGAAATTCGAAAGATTTCGAGAAATTCCTCAGTGTTAACCAGTATGAAATTTCACAGAAATTTTGACGGTGATAATTTTCTGCTAACGTAGATGGTTATTGAAGGTAGTCGAGGAATAGTTGATTTTGTTTTGTTATATTGTGAGTATTGTTAATCTGTCTATGAATTAATTGATTGTTATTGTTATTTGTTATGTTCATATCTTTAGCTAAATAAATTTATTCGTTATGGTTATGTATGGCGTATTGCATTCAGAGTGTATTCAGCAGTCGTTTACGAAAAGGATTCTGGTATGATTGCACGTCAGAATAACTTCGCTTATGCAAGAGTTTGACTTAATCTATAAAAATGAGTAGCAATTCTGTTTGCTAGTCTCAAAAGACGACTTATGTCCCCAATAGGACGGAAAGAGTATTGTTTCTAAAAGACTGTTATAATATGCAAAGCAATTGACTAAGGTTTAACTAGTTGCGTAATATGCGTACTTGAGTAGACGCAATCAGTTACAATTAAATTAAAGTAAACATTAAAGTTAATCTTTTAGCGAGAAGTAACATTCAGTAAGTTTTGATTATGTATCAAAGTTATTGGCTAACGAATGTTATGGCAATATGGATATTGATGTGTTATATAGTATCAATTCACAATTTTTTTCATTTAAGGAATGTCAACGAGATCTGGGGGTACAGTCATTCAAACATACCCATTCGTTTCCATAGTGAATATCAGTAGGATCACTGAGATCAGATTGTGATTTCTATATCAAGCTATATTTCGATGAAAGTAAACCTTTGTCCTCCGAAATGTGTACTTTTTTGATGCTTCATATGATAGATTCAGAGAATTCAGAATATCTAAAGATAGCGGTCAACCGAACGCAACGTCCGTATCCAGTGATTATGGTTGCTATTTATATGATCACAGTGGATTGAACCATAAATAAGACATGAAGCTATGCCTCAATAAGGATAAGGATTTGTTTGTCATTTGTGATATGTCACATGAATGAATGGCTTAATATTTACTCAATTAGTCGAATTGTTTCGTTATTTGCTTATTCGTGTCGGTAATTGCGATTGAAGTTCGCGAGTAGTGATTGTTGCAATATTAGGTCATTCACGGGTCATCGTTTATTTGATCGCATGATCCCGAATTAATTCTTTGCTAATTGATTCGATCATATACACTGATTTGATCACGTTATCTTAAATTGTTTATCAAGATTCAGTAAGTGTTTGAAAATTGAAAAATCCACGTAGATCCATCAACAGTCAAATCTCTTTAACAAAAGTTAACATAGCGATAATTTGATGCTTTCCACAAAATTTCTATTAATTACTGCTAAGCAATGTAATACACTTCACATCGGTTGGAATATGCGTACAGGTATCAAAATTATTATTTGCCATTTACATTATATAAGAGAACAAATGAAAGAGCCAACACAAGTGGATTAATATTGTTGAGATAAGACGATACGTTAAAAGGAGACATACACGACGGTATTGATGTATTCATATTTGCTAAAAGATATCTGCGTCGGTATTTTTCTTGATTCTCTTGACGAAGTAGTGCTTGACGGGGATAAATCCGTTGTGCATACGAGGATTACGTTTTGAATTATGAGTGAATGACGACAATATGAGAATGGGAATGAGGGCGGTTGAGCTTTTATGAGGCGTTTTTTAATGTTGGACTGCTTGCTTCGAGATGACATTCGTCATTTTTGAGGCAGTGACATTTTGTTCGATGAAGACATTCAAATAAATCACTGCTTTGTTTCAATCGTATGCACTTCAAATTATAATATTCAGTATCATCGTTGCAATCGTCTTCAGAATATTCAGTTTCAAGTGGAGCATTTCTATTCTGACAAAGAAAACTTTTCTTCAAACCTGTCTATTTTCGCTCGAAACTTCCAGTTGAAGATGAGACCGACCTTGAGCATGGGATTCAGCTGTTTTATAGCCGATGATAAGACTATAAATTCACTAACTTGCGATATTATCGCCTACGAATAGAAATATTATGCATCATTTTTCATGGCAAATAAATCATTTCCTGATCAGTATATCATGAACAACAAATGATCTAATTGATCATGTAAATGGTAATTGTTCAAGATCATGCACAAATATACGTTTCATGTTTGCGATCTTTTCTGAATAATGATGACTAAACACAAAAAAACAGATGATTGCTGGGGGTTGAATACAACCGGATGATTAAAATAATTACTCGCAGATAGAGTTGAACAATAAAAGAGCACCGATTCGAGCGGTTATTATTATCCGTATCATTACTATTATTACTCCTATTATACTACTGTTGCTATTATCGTTTGAACAATTATTGTTTCGATAACATAATGCTCAGTACACGGTTCATTTAACTTGTATCATTTGTAAGATTATATATCAATGATGGAATACACAGATTTATGCATTTGGATGGTTATGCATGTTCACTTATGTGGATGTATATGGTTGCTGGATCCAAATAAGATCGCCACATCTATTGCTGGATCGTATTCTTAGCTATCTTTCCAATATATTCAAGATGTGGTAAGCAGACTATGGTATATCCTTTTATATCCCCCTCAAAGATATATCCTTTTCAAACGTTTCATACTGTTCAGCTTTTTTCATAGACTCATCGGCAATTATATGAGACAAACACCTTTAATGAGCTGGTGGTGTCATCAAGTGGCCTCTTTAACCCAATGCCTTTTATCTTCGCGACCTGATCGAGAACGTTTGAATCCCTCTGCACAGGTTCAGATATATTTCAATATATATGTCTGTTGTTTGAGTATTTATATCCACATTCATTCGATCGTTCAACAATCATTTACATCATATAACAAAATCGCTCGCAGCCGTTAACTACTGCCTAAATTTCTCGCCTTTCAAATTCTATCCAAATTTCTCCTGCCCTTTCTAAAATTTTTCAACAGATGTATTTGTTTGTGACCGAATTGTTCGCAACTCACATGTTACAAGTTGTTCTTCGTTGTATTTTGATTTTGTTTTGAATCTCAAGCAAATATGCGATAAAAATTATGAAAGCAATGAGTTAGTTGGTTTGGGATTGAGCCTGTAGCTTTTGAATGCACTTTACGCAGTTTTCTGATGAGAAGAATATATGGTAATCCTATTTTG